GGACGGGTCTTTGCCGCGCCGGCGACGCGGGGACCCTTAAAAACCGCAGGCGCGGATGCCTGCGGACTGAAGACTCGGCGGGTGCCTTAAGCGCCCCCCCTGATTCGCGAAGAGCCTTTTTAAAGGCTGCGGAGGGGATACGGGGGTGGCGTGGCACTGAGAGTCGATCGCTACCTCGGTGGAGCGAAGCCGCGAGCCATAACCAGAGAGCGCCGACTTCCTTCCTTGAAAATCTGGACTGAAAGAACTACCCGTGAGTAAGACGGATTGGGACTTTAAAAATTTTTACCCTGAATTAGAGACGACCGGGGGGTGTACTAAAAGGAAGTCCGCACCCCCCCCCTTGCAGAAGATCTAAGCAACGACATAAGAGCTAAGCTGGAGAGCCTACCCTTGGTGGGGTGAGTTAAAAAGGACATTAACTTTCAAGATTTTGCTAAGGGGAATTTTATGCTGGAGAGTGGAGTTTCAGAAGCCTTCTTTTTGTTTTAAACTACCCCCCCTCCCGGGCTCGGGAACGTCCTGCCTTTGTGCCTGTGTAAGAGCTGCGGAGTTTGACAGCTGTCAAAGCTGTCAAACGGGCAATTTAAAGTGGAAAAATCGCTGTTTAAGATCCCTCTGGACTAAGACAAGCTACAATTGAATTAAAATTGTTGGAAACAAAGTGATAATAAGAAGCTAAAGGGTTGTTGAGCAAAAGATTAATAAGTAACCAGATTCCCCCTAGGGGGAACTCTGTGAAATTACAATGGATACAATGGCTGTGGATGGAAAGTTACTAGTTGAAATCGAAAGGATGTTTCAGTTGGTGGGAACCTTACAAGAGCAGAGCTTGGCCATGAATAAACAACTTGTGACTATGACCTTGGGAACAGGCAACTCTGCTGTTTGTGTTGAGGACCTGAATGAGAAAGAATCCACCGCTGAAGGGGAAACAATATTTTCAGAGGTGGAAGAGACTAAACAAGAAAAAGAGAAAGTAACTTTGGGAAGCAACATCCAAAAGCTGACATCTGTGGAATACAAGCAAGGAGACTTTGGGAACACATCTACCACAAGTCTGCGAAAGATCCAGAAGAAAAAGGAGGAGGCCCTGGGACAATATGGAATACAGGAACTTAAAACAAAGAGACATGATTGGGGCCTCCGTTTGGACTTTGGTTTTGAGGATACAGGCTTTGTGGAAACTATCCAGCAGTTGATTACAAATCTCCTTGTGGGAAGAGAATATACTTGGATGCTGAAAGAGCTTTTTCCAGACTCGACGACTGACATAAAGGACTACCAACAAGACCGGCGGAGAGGGACTGAAAGAGATTTGAAAGCCTCTGACGTGAGGAACCCAGGCTGAGAATTTCGACTTTGGACTTTCATTGGGAAGGGACAAAAACTGGGGATGGGAGGGAGGGAAGAGGAGATTTTCAGAAACTCTCAAGACTTTTAGGTTTGGTTAATATGACTTTTAATTAAGACAAAATGAAAAATCGATGGAAGAGAACTTAAGTCCAACTTAGGAATATTAATTTTAATTACAAAAGAGGTAATAAGAAGAATAAGATGGTTAAGAGGAGAAATACCAACTTGCTGATATAATTTTGGGAATTGGGATGCACGAGGGGGGGTGGGGGGAAGTCAGGGAACAAGGTTATGAAACGAGGATTGGCTGAATTTATACATGTTTTGTTATGTGTTATTTTTTTTTGTGTGTTTTGTTTTTATAAATGCGGAAAACCCAATAAAAATTATTTTTTTAAAAAAAGAAGAAGTGTGGATGAGCCCATAGACCTTCAGTTGAACACAGGGGCTTGGGTCAGTGGACCCAGACCTGTTCCCTGTTCCTCCACATATCAGGAGAATATGACTATGGCTTCCCTTGTGCTCCTGCCAATGCGTCCACCCAGTGCCAACCTCTCCCTTCCACTAAGTGGCAGTGGCCGTGAGCCTGGTACTGGGAGCAGCTAGGTGCGTGACCACACCCCTCTCTGCTGCTAACTGTTACTGGGAATATGTGATTTAAAAATCATTGCAGGTGGTTGTGTTAACATCTGGTTCAGTGAGCGTCAGATTAGCATTGTGACACATGTTTGTAGTTATATAGAAGTCTGCTGGCTCAGAGTGAGAGTTCCATTGTGCTCTTCCCCACTGCCCTCCCCAAATGCAATTCAAAGGTGATTCATAAGCATAGCAGAATATTTTAGGCAAATGGGGGTGAATTCTGTTTTTTTCATTTCCTTCTGCTCCCCAATCATATTTTCATGGATATTGTTGCTAAACTGCTGTATTTTCAGCTGCACCAATTTAGACAGTTGACTGTGTTGTGTTGTGTTGTGTTGTGTTGTGTGTTTGTAAAGACCTAACCTTTGATCTGTGCCTACAAAGACAGTCATGGTGTCTTGACACAATTAGTAAAAATAGACAGAGGAACAGAAAAAATAAATTGGAAGGGACACTTTGCCCATGAGGTTTTCCCTCGGCTGTGGAGAAAATAGAACAAGGCTTATTTTAACCCGGGGAAGGCAGAGTGCTGCTTGCCCAGTTCAAAAAAGGACATGGAGGACTATGCTTCCAAATATTCCTTCTCCATTATGTTTTGAATTTCACTACAAATAAATGTGCTGGATGCTATGCAAAAAACCATCTTTGCATACATCTGTCCCTGTGTGTGCTGAAGAGTGCTTCAGCTTCTTCCTTTGAGGATCACAGTGATTTTAACTTCGCCTGACAACTGCTTTTCAACGTCTTCATTTTATGCACCTCCCAAAGTGCCAGTTTATAGGAAGATCAAATAATAATTTTAAAAGTATCAGATACTAAGAAAGGGAGTTATGTGAAAGGCGTGTTTATTTTGTATGGTTGACAAGTTTCTTGGCGTGCCGACCTTTAATTTATGCTCAGTGTTAAAAAGGTGGGGGCACAGCTCAGCGGTAGAGCACTTGCTTGGCATGTGGAAGGTGCCAGCTTCAATCTCCAGGCAGGCCTGGGAGAGACCCTTGCCTAAAAGCCTGGAGAGCCACTGCCAGTCAGTGAAGGCAGTATTGAACTAGATGGGCCAACATTCTGCCTTGGTGTAAGGCTGCTTCCTAGGTTCCTATGTAAACCCAAGATGGCTGGCATCCATCTGTCTTGGGAGACAATGGAGGACTGAGCCTTTGGAGGTGGTCAAGCTGTTGGATGTTCACAGCGCCTGCTGTGGCTGTAGAGATCAATGAGGGAGAGACATGTTTTGTTGCAGCTGGGGCAGATGAAGGTGTCCAGTTATGCTCCTGCAGATGCACCATGGCATTTCTTCTCTCTGCGCTCCTCCCAGTGGTCATTTCTCCTCTGATCACAGCTATGGATACACAACTTGCCTGCCTGTCTCCAGGTACTGAGCTTGCCTGCAAGGGATTCTCACATGGCAGGGTTGATGATGCTGCCAGCCTTCATGTCACGTTTGCAGATTTTTTGGGTTCATGATCTCGGGTGGCATACCAAAACACAGCTTCTTCAGGTCCACAATCTCACGTGGTGACCCAAAACACACATTTTGGGGTACCATGCCTGAAAAACACCAACATTTTTCCAGGGTTTAGGATCTCGCATGGGTCATGTGATTCGTGTGGGAATGCAGACCCAGAAGATGGCGTCCCAGATTTGGACTGTGTCATGTTAAGGGTATGTGTTTGAAGGGTATGTGTCTTCAATCAGAAGAGAAAGAGACCAGTGAGGAGCAATTGTGTGGATGGGAGATTGCATGTGTGCTTGTACTAGTAACGCACCACTTCTGATCCCTCACCTGAACTGAGTGTTCATTGTTGCTCATGAAAGGGCCAGGCCTTCTGCAAATATTTAAACTGATGAGAAACCCTGTCCTTGGATGGCTCACGCCCAACAGAGTCTCACTGAAGAGCACAGAGCTAACCTCAGCATATTATTTTGACAAATGGGCAGTCGATATGCCACAGATTCCCACAGGACTGCAAAACTTCCATTGAGTTTCAGTTTGTTTATTGGATTCACCATTGATTGTATGACAAGATAAACATGGACAATTAATGAAGCATTCAGCTGTCCTTGAAACAGACTGCCACATGAGAATCTAGGTGTAACTCAGCAGTTGCTCTTAAGCGCTAGGTTCTTTAATGTCCTGAAGAGAGCCAGTATAGTGGTTAGAGTGTTGGACTAGGACCTGGGAAACCAGGGTTCAACACCTGTGTGCCATTCACTTGGTGTCCTTGAGCCAGTTGTTGTCTCTCAGCTGAATCTATGTTGCAGAGTTGTTGTGATGATAAAATGGATAGTAGGGAGAACCATGTCGGTAGGCCTCCTTGAGCTCATTGAAGGAAAGGTGGGATATAAATATGGTAGTAATATTATGGTGATGTGTCTTGCACCTTGCTCCAGCTGGTTGATTTTGAGGTTGTAGTAAAACACCAAGTAGCTCCTATGAGGCTGAAGTGTACTCATGAGAGCAGACGTCTGCCTATTGTGTAGAGTAGATGCTTAGGTAGACAGACCAATTATCTTAGCTGGGAATAAATAAGAAAGCTCCCTATGGTCTTAAGGCGACCTATTTTGAGGGAGAGCTTTCAGTCCTACATGGTTTACTTTTTGATCCATCCCTAATCCATGGGAGAAAGTTAGACTATAAATATACAGTGGTACCTCAGGTTAAGTACTTAATTTGTTCCGGAGGTCCGTTCTTAACCTGAAACTGTTCTTAACCTGAAGCACCACTTTAGCTAATGGGGCCTCCCACTGCTGCAGCGCCGCTGGAGCATGATTTCTGTTCCCATCCTAAAGCAAAGTTCTTAACCCGAGGTACTATTTCTGGGTTAGCGGAGTCTGTAAGCATATGTAACCCAAGGTACCACTGTACTTTTAAATGAATGAATAGTAACCTTGTTAACAAGCCTAATAAAAAGCAAAAGAAAAAATGTAATCATTACTTTCTTTTTCTCTTCTCTTCTCTTCTCTTCTCTTCTCTTCTCTTCTCTTCTCTTTTCTTTTCCACCAAATAGCTGTGTAATGGAGGATCTGTGACTGACCTTGTAAAAGGATTTCTGAAGCGAGGAGAAAGAATGAGTGAAGTTATTATTGCTTTCATTTTACATGAAGCCCTGATGGTAAGCAAGGAAATGCATTAACAGTTCAAATATTGGCTCTTGATTTTGGTGGAGAATTAATTTTGGTACAGAGTCAAGCACTGGAAGGGAAATGGGACATGGCCCCACCAACCTCAGTCTGCCCTCAGCCAGTCCTTACCTAGTCCTCACCTGCTTTCCTTCTTCCTTACTACCAGTCCAGTGGGTAGCACTGCCTAACAGGTTCTAGCAGCCTTGCATGCTGTTATATATGAAATGGAGATCATGGTTTAATAGAAACTCTACATGGTTAAATAAGCCTGTTTCGTAAACCATGGTTTGAAGTTGACTTGTTTAGAAACTGCTCAGAGTTGTAAAGTTGCAAGTAAGAGCTGCCAAGTCTATCTCATGGCTGCATGAAAGAAGGGGAAGGGAGTGCATGAGTCCAAGGCTTTTACACGTAGCACTAAACCATGGTTTAAGGTTACATATAAACACTGAATTTTGTTACATATTGCTGGTATAGCATTTCCTTCACCCCCATCTTCCTAACTACAGACACAACAGCAAATCTCAGGACAACACTGTAAGTTTGTAAGATTTATTGGCTTGGGAAATGCATGAGTTTTATTCATTAAGGATTCCCCCCCCCATGCAGATGTTTACCATGAGAGATAATTTAAACTGTAATGGTTCACCATGTGAACTATGGTGGATTTGTACTATAGGTATATCCCTGAATTAAAAATGCATTAAATGGAATACTTACTAAGTTTACAAATATTTTGACAATTTCGTATTTTCTTTATTGCAGATAAATTCATTTAAAAACCATAAACTCTCTTTTCAGGGGCTTCAGCATTTGCATGAAAACAAAACTATCCACCGTGATATCAAGGGAAATAACATCCTTCTAACCACTGAAGGAGGTGTTAAACTTGTGGATTTTGGTAAGTTGCAATGTCCTTATACCCTTGAGATGTCACGTTGCACTTGTCTGTCAAAAGCAGCCAACATAGGGTCTAGACAAACATGATCCAGTGTGAGGTAGAATGAGCCTTGGGCTTCAATATACTCATGCCCTGCCTTCTCCTCAGGTAGAAGAAAGTTACACCTGTTCTGACCAAATACTGCACTGATTTTCACTTTGGGATCTGCCTAAAAGTAGTTCATGATGCAGTATCCTGGATTTCAAGAAGAAAGAGCAAAGTATATTTCCAGTTGGTGTACATGCACAACTTTGGCTTTACCCAGGGGTGACTGGTGTCTCCGCTAAAAAGTGGGATTCTATAAGTTATTGCCAAGTCATTTCCACCCATCCATGACACAAGCCATTGGTCCCACGCCCCTCCCATCAGACATTATAGTTGAATTGTGTTTTGGAGGTGCCTGTCATGCGGATTAACTCCATGTGGTGAGGTGACAGAATTTTGCATAGACTGTTGCATCCCCTTTTTTATCTGGTGGTGTTATTGCCAGTGCTGCAATTATATGACTCGTCTCCTGTTCTGAGAGTTGATCTTGGTTGTTTATAAAGTTACTTTTTGTGTGCAGGCTGATTTTTATTACTCACCCCTTTGGAGTTTTACTTAACCTTTTAAACTTGGATATAAATATTTGAAATAAATAATGTAGGCTCATGATGTATATACACTGACATAAGGCTAAATGTATGGGAGTCTTGTGGCTAAGGGATCAGTGGCACAATCCTATACATGTCTATTCAGAAGTTAGCCCCATTGACTTCAGTGGGGCTTACCTCCAGGAAACTGGGCACAGGATTGTGGCCAATATGTCAGATCAGGAAGGCCTCAGTTCAAACCTCACCTCTGATGTGAATGCACGTTTTGGCCTTAGGGAAGCCACTCTCAGCTCAAGATCTGTAAAATGGGAGTAATATTACTAACTTGGGTGGCGCTGTGGATTAAACCACAGAGCCTAGGACTTGCCGATCAGAAGGTCAGTGGTTTGAATCCCCGCGATGGGGTGAGCTCCCATTGTCCCAGCTCCTGCCAACCTAGCAGTTTGAAAGCACATCAAAGTGCAAGTAGATAAATAGGTACCGATCCGGCGGGAAGGTAAGCGGCGTTTCCGTGTGCTGCTCTGGTTCACCAGAAGCGGCTTAGTCATGCTGGCCACATAACCCGGAAGCTCCCTCACCCAATAAAGCGATGAGTGCCGCAACCCCAGAGTCAGCCACGACTGGACCTAATGGTCAGGGGTCCCTTTACCTTTATTACTAACTTATCTTTCATAGTTATTATAAGGATAAGTTGTGTGTGTGTGTTTCTATCTAATATGTGATCACTCTAAACATTCAAAAGTGCTGTAGAAATGTTAAATATGATTATTAAAAACACTAATCATGGGAGTGCTGGGAAGTCCTGATTGCTGTAAGGTTTGGAAAAATATTCTCTTGCCTCTCAAGATTCTGTGCCTACTCATGCAGCCTTGATGTTAATGAGGTTGGCCATATCGCTCAGTACTAATTAGGTCAAGCCCTGTGTGATAGTGTCCCATTCACAACAGAAAGGGAACACCTCATTCAACTGCAAAATGAATTAAGAACAAAGACTAAAGCTGATTGGTCAGAAGCACCCATGTTGGCCATGAATAGAAGGCTGTAAATTTTTGAGATAAATTTCCAGGAGTAAGAAGCTTGAAGTCTTAAAATCTTGCTTTTGGCGTGGATATTGGCTTATCTTAAATTAAAACCAGATTCTTATTTCAAGTAGTGTTTGGAATGAGTTTGGTTCTTTAGAATCTTAGTCTAGTAACTGCATCTAGAGCTACTTTTCCATTAACTTCAGTATTCTAGCCAAACCTATGGAGATTTTCAATAAATACTTACCCATAGGTTAAGGTAAAGGGAACCCTGACAATTAAGTCCAGTCGCGAACAACTCTAGGGTTGCGGCGCTCATGTCGCTTTACAGGCCGAGGGAGCCTACGTTTGTCTGCTTGGCTATTGCAAAACATGGAGAGACACTATCTCACCGGTCCTACCAGTTGGGATGAATATGGATATTTTACAGTTAGGGAATTAATGTTAAATGAGAGGGACTTGCCTTAGGACAGGGAGAGCCAATGTGGTGCCCTCCAGGTGTGCTCTGGCTCCCAGTCAGCCCTAGCCAGCTTGACCATCATTCAGGAATAAAGGGAGTTGGGTATGATGGATATTCCAATAACATTTTAAGGGCATCACGGTGGCTATCCCTGCCTTAGAATATATCCAAGGTTAATTTTACATGATTTGTACTTGGAAACATCTCCCTCAGGAGCCCTGACAGAGCTCAACGCCTGTAGTAGCTGTTAAAAGGAAAGAGACATTCTTACCTATACAGATGTTTTAAAAAGAAAATGTATTTTTCTGACCTTGTTGTCCATCCAAGGATTGACATGATTGGCTGTGGTTTTACTTGTTTCACGTTACTGTAATTCTTTTGTCGTTTGGTGGTTTGAGCTGATATAAGATCATTAGGGAATATATTTCAATTAAATAAATATGAGCAGAGTTAAATGCTTATAAATCTCAGTGCATTTCAGTGGACAAGATCTAAGAACAGCCTTAATTCTGTTTAAATCTGTCAAACTCAAAATGTGCTTCACTTTCACTGGTTGTGCCTTTAAGAACTAGCCTCCCAGTATATCTGTGGCTAGTTTGGGATTTTATCTCGGATCTCCCAGGTCAAAGTTCAGGGGGTTTTCCACTGGACTTTTGCTGGTTCTTTTTCTGTTGTTGCAACTAGTTGTTGTACTCTGCCAGCTTGACATCACATATGACAGCTGCTGTCAATAATAGGCAGGTTAATGGACCTTTGATAACGGAACTGGCTTTTTCTTCCCTTTGTGGCTTGTGAACTTCTGAATTGTGGGACATAATATTTTCCTGTTCTGCTAAGCCAATTTATTTTGCACAGCAGTTATGCTAGCCTTTGTGAACAGCCTGCACCTTTTGTACATTTCTTTCTTGGCTGTCATGTTATTTCGCCCCCCAGCAGTCATTCCAGACACTGTTGGATTAGTACAGCCATTACAGACAATGGCGCCACAGCAGTAAAGATCCAGATTTCAGCCACTCTACTTATTCCCATTTACGCTGCATGCCCCACTTTTGCTGCAGGCTCTCGGGCACACATTTTCTGTAAAGTGCGAGTCCAGTACTTTTTGTCTGGGGACACACAGCAGTATGCATGCACCTAAACATTTTGTGATTCTAATGTGAGAAGAAACTAAAAAAAAATAATTTTTTAGTTTCTTCTCTAGCACGGTGAATCATCAGTTCTGTTGCTACCCCCGATGGCAGCCTCATTTCCTGTCACGGTGTTTCCTGAGTCTCAGACAGAAGCGAGCGTTTAATGTGTGAAGTAGGAGTTGGAATCTAGTACGGTGATTGGTCAGTTTTGTTGTTACCACCTCTGATGGCAGCTTCCTTTCCTTTCCTGGTGTTTCCCGAGTCTCAGACGGAAGCGAGCATTTAATGTGTAAAACAGTGTAGAATATGGATGTGTGGTGTTTTACTGATGAAAGTTTGGCCTCATTGAGGGGCAGTATTTCAATATGTGTAGGAAAATTACTATTTTTCATCATCATGAGGTAATGCATGTTCTTTGTGCTTTTGTACTTTGTACTTTTGTATTTATTTTCCCCGATTTGAACTATAAAATGGTGGTTTTCTTGAGTCAAAATGAGAGTACCCACAAACATTTTTTTAGGAAAAAAAGCACTGTGTGAGTCCCATATTTTGGAGCCTGCTGTAGTCTTTCAGTCATCCTCATGCTTCTCTGTCATGGCCCAGTCAGGATATGCACTCACGCTCCACCCTGAAGCATTCCCAGACACATCCCTGTGGGATAACTCATGACATCACATGTGTGTTATGGGGTTTACATGATGTGATGCCCACATCCCCACCTCACAAACTGAGGCAAGCTTTGCATAATTTGACCTCACATTGTGTTCATACATTTAAACCTTGTTGATTAATTTACTATGACGTAGTTTACTTTGGTGTTATTTAAGGTGTGGCATGTAAACAGCACTAGTCACAAATAATTAGATTTGAGGGGTTTTTAATTAGCTTGATTTGACTGGGTTGTTTCATTTAGTTTCATGTTGTGTCATGTGTAATGTACTTTAGGTCTGCAATTTACAGGAAAGAGTTAACATATGTAGAGAATGGAAATAACTAATTGCTAATTAATTTCAAATAGTGAGCTATAAATAGATAGGTAACTGCGGTGACCCTACTTGGAATATGAAGTTGACAGCTGCAAAAAAATGAATTTGAATGCTTATGCTAATTTTAGGTGATTTGAAATGCAAGAATTGTTTTATAGAGATTGTAACAACTGCTGGAGGACTTTTCAGAATGACTAGTGAATATTGTTTATTGCAACACATTTTATTGAAATCAAAAGTTATCTCTACATATTTAGGCTCCTGGATCTTTGAATGGGACAATAACCTAAAATTCTTTCATTGTGTTGATATATTTTTCAGCTCATATTTAATCTGTTAGGTCTGTGGCTTGACAAGTTATTAGCAGTTACCCACACTGGGGATGCTCAAGATAATGATTCTACAAATGTTATATCCCATATTGTTGCAGAGTGTCCCCCAAACCTCAGGTGTAGATAGCGTGTGAGGAGCTACAGTGGATGGTGGGAGGATCGGTGAAATACAATGTGCCGTTCTGTGTGAGCGAATGTGCTTTCCATCCATGATGACCTGTCATTGTATTTAAACAGAAGTGTATTTACTACATAAGCAAATTTACTGCAGTACTATATCTTGCAGTAATATCTAGGACGATCACCGTATTTTTCGCTGTATAAGACGCACCAGACCATAAGACGCACCTAGTTTTTGGAAGAGGAAAACAAGAAAAAAAATATTCTGAATGCTCTTATGGGATAGCTGTGCGCAGCCTCTCCCGGGTAAGGGGAGGC